TATTTATAAAAAATCATATTACAGATGATTTATAAAATTTTCAAACTTTAGTTACATAGTACAAATTTGCCCCTCAACCTAAAATTTCTAGCTCTGCCCTGGGGCAAATTCGAGTGTAAGTTTTTCTATATTAATTATTTTTCTTTTCAAAAGAGTACTTTTTTTCATGATCTTTTTCTTTGGTTTTTTTTTTCCACGACTGTGGTTGGTTGGTGATTAGTTCTCCAAGTCGAAGATTTTGACTCACTACCACCTTTTAATTTTGAGTTATTTGAGATCATTTTTAGTCGTATTTCTTTTATATACTTATATAAAACCTCTGTACCATATTAAATGACTACTTTGAAAACCTTGACTCATAAAATTGTGATTCAAAAATTTCAAGATGGACATCTAATATAGGGCGGAAGTAGTACGACGAGATTAGAAGAAACATATTATTGTAAATGGGACGTCCTAGAAGTTCTTGCAAAATCAGCAACAAGTAATTGCCTCTTCATCTAGAATTTCAAAAAAATTAACGATTCTGTGAAAATGAAAAGAAAGTTTAACCATTTGTAAAATTTAAAATTGTTGCAACATTTGTATGTCAGATTCATAGTTTCACAGCCAAGATTTTTTTTTTTTTTTTGGCAGAAATTTGGATGACTCGTATGATTGGTATTTAAATAGAAAGATGTTTAATTGATGATCCTCTGGTTCAATGTTATAACATTGCCACCAGACGAAAAATTTGCGCCAAAAATGATACTTGTGGACTGGGCCTTGTCCAGGCCTGTCACAATATAATGCACAGGTGCAAAACTTGCCCAGCTCTGTTAATCAGGATGGGCTTAACACTGACAGATATGGAAAGCCCAATACAAACTTGGATCTAAATTTAACAAGTATTACTGAGCTCAAACGTGGCCCACATAAATCTCTCAACATCCAGGCCCATCTCAATGAGACTCATAGAGGGCACTTGGTACATTTCTATATGTTCACAAGTTAGCAAGTTTATCTCATTTACCCAACATGTAGACACATTTATAATTAGGATAGGTGGACAATTTTTATGCCTTCTCTCTGACTATGATTCTTGGAGAACAGTGATAAATAAAATAAAAGAAAATAACAATTAACCAAATATATATATATATATATATATATATATATATATATATATATATATATATATATATATATTTTTTACAAATTAATATTCAAAAATGCATATGTGATATATACGGGAGATTCGAACCTTCTATCTTTTATTAGTTTACAGGTCTTGATATTTTGTTAAGAGTTAATCGAATTGTATCTATAATGTCGTAATTAGCTGAAAGACACCGTAATGTCTAGAAGATCGCAAGGTCACAATTTGTAATGACAGTGAACTTGAACATCACTTTGCATAATTTGGAAATGAGTGATGGATCACAATGACTTGGCATCCTGATCTGTGGGCACAGTTGGATTAAATAATTGTGATATGGGTTATCAAAGCTCAATCAATATGCACCAAACCTAATCCGTTAAGAATCTTAAGATGCGTAGAATGAATCCCACCACGTATGTACAAGTCACCAACACATGGCACTTGGTCATGACATTAATAATTATTATTGAGTCATAGTCTGATTATTGCCAACCATGGCCCAAACTGCTGAGGTGTCTCTTTGTGACTAGAATGCTCTCAATCATTCAACTCGGATTTCACATTTGTCACTAGAATGCTCTCAATCGTTCAACTTGGATTTCACAAATAAGGTATAGGGACCAGACTTAATTAACGAAATAATATATATATATATATATATATATATTAATCAATTGCTTGCCCCTTGCTAACATGAGTCGAACTTACAAATGAATTGAATACTATAGGCCTTGTTTGGTAAAGTTGTGATTTTTATTTTTTTTTATTGTAATTTCATTTATGTGAAAATAGAAAGTTTTAAAAAACTATGTTGTTATTATGTCAAATCAAAATATGTTTAGTATGGTGCATGTTTTTTTTTTTTTAATTAGTACTCACACACACTTGTCTCTTTTATACTTGAACCCCTGACCTCCTTTTGAGAGGTAAGAAGCTGATACCGCTAGACCACTGACAGGTTGGTTAGTATGATACATGTTGAATTTTTTAAAAGAAAAAATATGTTTGATAAATTTATTTTTTATTTAAAATTGACTTTTTTATTTACTTTTCTAGTATAATTGAAAATTAATAAAATAATATTTTAATTACTGTTCAAGTATAATTAAAAAATAATAAAATAGTATAATTAACACTTTTATTTACTATTATACTATAATTGAAAATTAATAAAATAATATTTTATTTACTATTCAAACATAATTGAAAAATAATAAAATTGACTCTTTTATTTATTATTAGAGTATAACTAAAAATAATAAAGTAATATTTTATTTACTATTCAAGTATAATTGAAAAATAATAAAATTGATTCTTTTATTTATTATTAGAGTATAACTGAAAATTAATAAAATAATATTTTATTTACTATTCAAGTATAATTAAAAAATAATAAAATTGACTATTTTATTTATTATGAAAATATAATTGAAAAATAATAAAATAAAAAAATATTATTTATTTACTATTCAAGTATATTGAAAAATAATAAAATAATAAATAATAGTATTTCAAAACCAAAACTAAAATCAAAATTTCATTTTGGAGTTGTGGGAATTGTAGAGATAATGACAATTAGTTTTTAAAAGTTTTGAAATATAGAATTATGAAACGAATTTTGTTGCTGTTTTAAAAAATAAATAAAAATCACAGTTGAAAATCAAAACTGAAAACTTTCCTAAACAGGGAGCCTTTTCTTAGATTAAAGGACAAAATTTACAAAATTCTGGAATTATTTGATCAAATGGTGTACCAAATTATCAATACTAGTGAGTTAAACGTTACAATCAAATATATATGTCTTTGTCTATGACAAGTAAAAATTATATCCTGTATGATATCAAAAATATTTTATTATACATGAGCGCTAACGTGTTTGAGCCATAAAAATTCATGATATTATTCAAACTTTATAAAACAAAAAAAAAAAAAAACCTTTCAAATACTTTCACAGCTGACTGTGATTTGACCTTATAATTTTTTATATGTAAAATTTTTTTTTTTTTTTTTTGGAAAAAAAGAAAAAGAAAGAGAGTATTTTATGTGTATATATATAACCTAGAGAGGCTAACCAAATATTCTTATCCACGTAACTTTCTCATAGGGGTTGTCATATTTTGAATTTTAATATAGAAGCACACGGTTTTGTTTTTTTTAAATGGTTGGCTGAGTTGGCATGAAACTGAGTCAGCAAACAGTCAGTGTCTGCCACGTGTAGGATCAATCCAAAACATCGTCATTGTATTTCTTGAATAAAATAGTAATAATTAAGTTAATGGTCTTTGACATGAACACATAACCTAGTACTAAAAGAAAATTGGAGAAGGAAAGTTGGCGTGGACCTGAGTCAGCAAACAGTCAGTCGTTTGCAACGTGTAGGATCAATCCAAAACCAAAACCAACGTCATTCGCTTTATTGAATAAAATAATAATTAAGTTAATGGTCTTTGACATGAGAAGGCCCTCCTCAACTTTACACGTCAAGAATCTTTCGTATCCAAGTATAATAATTATTCTCATCCGACTAAAATGGCGTTCACACATTTCGGGACTTCGTTATGACACTAATACCCCTTCATAAACAAATTTTTTTTTCATATTACATCTTAAGTTATATATATCCCTTCTTAATATGTAAATTCTAATTATTTATAACTTAATTCTAGGACTCTCACATTCTCGTTCTAAAATTCACTTTTATTCTTACTCTTTTGACTTAAGTTACATCTATATTTGTTATTATAATATTATTTTTAAAAAATTACGACAAACGAGTCAAGAGTTGAGAAATATATTATCTTAGTAATTTTTTTAATTAAGCTATCAAAATACGGCAAGAGAGTATGGAATAATGATAATTTTTTTTTCACCTTTAATCGGTACGTAAGTAAGTCGTTACAAATTCAACTGCATACGAATTGAATTTGAAAATAATTTATGAGTTCATTAGTTAAACCAAGTCGCCTAGACCTTCGATAGTTTCAAAACATATGTTGCTCAAAAAGTTAGCCACTTATTATAAAAGAAAAATAGAATATAACAGAGGAAGAAATTGAATTTCCATTATTTAAATGTGCACCCCAAACGTGAAACTCGCTAGCTTTTCAATTTTTAATTTTATTTTTGTTACAACGAAGATAGATTAATCATATATTATTTTTTGGTATAAAAATTCAAGAAATTAGATTGCCAAAACATTTATAATTTTGTAATAAATTAATGCATTTAGGGGGAAAATTTCAATACCATTCAAATTCAACCAATGAATAAAAAATGTCAAGACAAACTTAGATTAATCTTTAAGCTCCATTTCCCACTTTTCGTTTATTGGTAGAGTCATTATTAATATATTTTGTTAAATTGCTTCATTTAAATTGAAAAAAATAATATAATTTTATGAAATTTTATGCTATGACTCAAACCTGTAGTCAATCTATTTTCAATAAGAACTGTTAACTATTCACGACTAAATTTAATTTTTTCCATAATTTTTATGCTTAATGGTATGAAAAAAAAAGGATGGGGGCTCTAAGTTGTCCAAGAATAGGGTATGTAGTTTGTTGACCCTTGCCTTAGAATTAGTCAGTTCTATTTATTTCATTAAAATCCTGAAAAATTCCAAAAGGAAAATTTAGGAATTTAAATATAAATCCAAATTTATAGAATTTGCATATTCCGGAAATTCCAATTATATATATTCCTTTCATTTTCCGTCTTATCCCTTCTTGTCGACGGTGGAAATGGTGTAGGCGTAGAAAGTTTTATGCGGTTCAACTTTGTTTCGCTGTGAATGCGACACGCGGTGGATTCAGTTGAGTACTTTTTTCTTTTTCCCTCACCTGGCCCTCTGGTCCCAAAACCAACGCACTTTCTCTCTCTTCTTTCTCTCTCTATATATACACAAAACCGTTCTGCATACAAATCACAAATCACAAATCACAAATCCTCCATTCAACGTATCACTTCTCTCCCTCCACACACACCTGATTTCAGATTTGTGATTTGTCAACCCCTTCTCTCTCTAAATCGCTTCAATCTTCTCCATTTCCGAGACATTCATTTTCTACTTTTCAGAATTTCACAACTTCTGATCACTTTTACCTAATTTATTTTGACTTTTTCAACCTTGAATTTCACTGAATTGTCCCTTTCTCTTGTTCTGTTCTACGGTTTGGTCTGTTGATTCTTTGGCTTTTAGGTGTATAAGCTATGGAGGTTTCGGTGATCGGAAACTCTCAGGCGAATCTAGGGAGGACCGATTTGACGTATGGAGACGTAGGGTTTTGTAATAATAATTTGAGCCCTCGGATCTTTTCTCGGAAGTCAAAGATCTCTTTTGGTCGGACCATCAGGTGGTCCAAGTCTTCGGTTCGGTTCGCTCTCAACGCTGCCGTCCAATCGGAAGCGGTCATGTCGGAGAAAGTTTCCGGTCATACATCGACTTCACGTAGAAGATCCAATCCCGTAAGTTCTATATTTCTAGTTTTGTACTTCATTTTCTCTCTGATCTTTCGTATTCGACACTGTTTGGTTGCCGAGAAAATGAGGAAAAGAAAAAGTATTGAGATATCTATATTTCATTTCGTTTTGGTTTATGTGACATGAAAAACTCACCTCGAAATAAGTCAAGTCGTTGCATTAGATCCAGTTAATGGGCCAATTGAATTGTGCGAAATGAAATTTAAATTTGTTGATTCAAATTACAATATAAGATAATCTTTCATTGTGTGTTCAACGTTATGTACAGGGTCGGGTTTCTCTAACTTAAAAGTCAGAACCTTTTTAAGTGAATTTTGTTTCAAATTCCAACACTAAAAGGGCATTCCCCAATGTATTTCCTTGTTTATGAGAGTGGTTGGGAGGAAAAGATTGGAGATAGACCTAACCTTTGGTATTATTTTTGCAAAGTTTGATCTAAGACTTGAATTCACATTCTCATGCTTGTCAATTCAAACTTGTTATTGTATTTTGTAAGAACCCATTATTTGCCTCGTACATTAGTAGCAAAAAAAGAAATTGAGAAGGTGAAATACCCTACCACACTTTTTTATAATTGAAACTAAGAAGCAGTGTCATAATTTTGTTGGTACAAGGTGTGTGTGATTCTTGCCATTATCTGATTATGCTGATATAAACAAATTGGTCTCTTGCATTTTCTTGTGCAGATTGATGGCATAAGATTATACGTCGGGCTGCCCTTGGATGCAGTGTCCGACTGCAATACAGTAAATCATGCACGAGCAATTGCTGCCGGTCTAAAGGCTTTGAAGCTATTGGGGGTAGATGGCGTGGAGCTCCCTGTCTGGTGGGGAATTGTTGAGAAGGAGGCTATGGGAAAGTACGATTGGTCAAGTTACCTTGCTCTTGCAGAGATGGTCCAAAAAGTGGGTCTAAAGCTCCATGTGTCGCTCTGCTTCCATGCATCCAAAGACCCAAAAATTTCACTGCCTGAATGGGTATCCCAGATTGGTGAATCTCAACCTAGTATCTTCTTTACAGATCGGTCAGGACAATCTTACAAAGAGTGTCTGTCATTGGCCGTGGATGATCTTCCTGTTCTTGGTGGAAAGACTCCAATCGAAGTGTATAGGGAATTTTGTGAGAGCTTCAAGTCTTCATTCTCACCTTTCATGGATTCCACAATCAAGGTACAGAATTCTGAGAAAACCAAAGAATGTAAATATCCCTGGCTTTAGTCATTAATTGTGATACTGATTATCGGAACTGTTTTCCCTATTTACTCTTTTACAGGGCATATCAATTAGTCTAGGACCAGATGGTGAGCTTCGATATCCTTCTCACCACGGTCCAACCAAACGCCACAATATTCATGGAGTAGGGGAATTCCAGTGCTATGACAAAAACATGCTTGACCATCTCAAGCAACATGCCGAAGCACTCGGAAACCCTCTGTGGGGACTCTCGGGTCCACACGATGCTCCCAGTTATGACCAGGCTCCAAACTTGAACAACTTCTGCAAAGAGCAGGGAGGATCATGGGAGACTCCATATGCTGACTTCTTCCTTTCCTGGTACTCAAGTCAGCTCATAGCTCATGGAGATCGTATCCTATCTCTCGCCGCCTCTACTTTCAGTGATATTCCAATGACTATTTGCGGCAAAGTCCCTGTCATGCACTCATGGTACAAAACTCGTTCCCATCCTTCTGAGCTGACTGCTGGGTTCTATAACACCGTTGCTAGAGATGGCTATGAAGCGGTTGCTGAGGTGTTTGCAAGGAACTCATGCAAGATGATCTTGCCTGGAATGGACCTATCAGATAAACATCAGCCTCAGGAATCCTCCTCAAGTCCCGAGTTATTGGTTGCACAAATTATGTCAGCTTGCAGAAAGCACGGGGTGGATGTTTCTGGCCAAAATTCATCAGTTTCAGGAGCGCCTAGGGGGTTTGAACAGATCAAGAAGAATTTGTTGGGTGAAAGTGCAGCTGTGGACTTGTTCACTTATCAAAGGATGGGAGCTTATTTCTTCTCTCCTGAGCATTTCCCTAAATTCACCGAGTTTGTTCGTAGCCTGAGTCAACCAGAGCTGCATGCAGATGATCTGCGTAACGACAAGGAACAAGATCCAGCTTCTGCTGAATCTCTAAGCGCAGAACCCAGTAAGGATATCCAGATGCAAGCTGCTTAGTAAGATTTAGAAACATACTCTAATGTAAATAGATGCATTTTACTACAAGTGACTTTCTTAGACCTGGGTTGCTGTATTCTTAGACCTGGGTTGCTGTAGTACTCGGCATTTTCTGCTAATTTAAGACAAATGCTGTAATTTGTATTATTTTCTCATTGTTACTTTCCCATGGAGTTTGATAAGTAAATATATCCTTTTGTGTGGTATAGCTCACTGAATCATTCTACCACTCTATTGGAACCAAGTAGCAGACCTTTTTACTTACCAAATATTGCTGTTGATAACAGGCCTAGATAACAGTCCTAATCAACAAACACTACCTTTGTTGATCTAATATTTCCATTGGAGATGAGCTTGAGTGCGGTGGTTGAAGTGAAGCAGACAATTCAACAAAGCCCATTAAATAGCTCCACAAACTGGAGTTGCGTTGGTCCTCTACTGTTGTAACAATGCAATTTGCATCGAAGTTATTACCTTCACCTTTCAGCATTTCTTGATTGCTCATCTGTACAAAATCATTTCTCATGTTAAATGGCCAGATTCAAAAACACCCAACCTTTGGTTATGGTTGGTAATCAGTACCAAGAAGTTTTAGGTTCAATTCCTCCCAAGACTTGTTAACCTATGCACCTACTTTCATCTGTGATTGCGTGCATTGTTAGAGATCGTCTCCATTTGTATTTCCACTCCTTTCAAAGTGAAAGGTTGAGTGTTCAAGTCTTCCTAAGTGCATTGTGGGATTTTCTTGCTAGGAAAAATAAAAATGAAAATGGGTTTAGGGGATTAGGACTAACTAGAAATAATAATGAATATGGGTTTAGGGGATTAGGACGTAACAAAAACTAAAAAGTGAAGAAGGAACACCTCAATCCTTGTTATTCACGACACAGCTAATAAGCTTTGGCATTTTTATGAGAACGGTGAGACATATAGGCCATGCAAGAAAGGTTGATTCTGAATTGGAAACAGATAAATAAAAAATAGAAAAGAACCGCAAATATTAATTAAAGTATGACAGTGACTACATAAAAAATTTAACCAGGCAAAACCAATCATAAGATACATATTCATGTCCGCATATATGAATGGTACCAAAAGAATTGGAAAGAGATAACAAGAAAAAACAGCACAACAGCTAAGAGTAGGGACAAATTTTATATAGGAACAATCCACAAGGTAGGACAAGATTATTATAGAAATAGTTGTTGTTATGTACAGAAACAAAAGTAAAAATACAAAGCAAACATAAATAATAAAACTTCAATACTGCCAAAGTTTCATGCATTCCAGTCCTTTCCCTGCATCTCAAGAGGGACAAAAGCTATCAAGATGAAAGCCAAAGGTGAAAACCTCTTGACACACAGCATCTTCTATGCATTGATCAACATAACATGCCCAACAGTGGAATGATTTTGCTGAACGTTTTATTACCTTCTCAGTGTAACCTTTCACAACTTGGAAAATATCTTGAGGTCCAGCAACACGAAATCTAGACAGCTGCAGCAAAAGCGCACACAGGCTTACTAAACAAAAACCACCTGAATACTGTAATTTACTTGCGGTAAAGTGTTGTAATCATTGACCATCAGAGTTTCAATATTGGTGATGACAGGAAAGCAGAGAAATGATAATAATCAGAAATTTAAATAAATAAATGCAATTAATAAAGTAATACACGACAGCTGAGGAACATAATGCAAATCCCCCCATGTCAGTTAGCTATGCTCAACTGCAACACCTTCTATCTCACCCATGGTTTGAGGGATCATGGGTATCCTAAGGGATTAGGGCACCCATTGTGCCCCCAACTCACACACAACAAAAGAAAGAATAAAATAAAAATGAAAAACTCCAACAAGTTAGTTGGCTATCACAGAAAGAAATAATATACTGGTACACTTGCACATGAAACGGGTGTGTGGAAGCAGTGGGGAGCAGATAATGGTGATGATAGCACGGCGGCATTGGCAGGTACCAGATGGGTGCTGGTGATGGCACTGCTGAAGTGGGGAATTAGTGACTGGGAAAAGGGGGTACAGGAGGAGAGTAGTGGCAGTTGTGGAACTCATAATTACAATTAATAGATTTAAATGGCACTCCCCCAACAATATTTAGGGCACAAGGGGGAGCTCCTTGGGAGGAGTTCACTGCCTTTTGTCCCTCCTTTAGGCCCTGTGCTTACTTGAGCTCCTCTAGCTATAGACAGGGCTCTCCCTCGCTCGCTCATGAGGAGGACCCTAGGAGCATTTCTCAATAAATAAAGAAAGAATTCCATTTCACCGCCTACTTAAAAGAAATATTAAAGATTAGGTTATTAAATTAGTATTATAAATTCTAAATAAAATTATATATAAATAAGAATATGTTGCTGAATAAATTTTGAACTAGCTTCAGCAGCAGCCTCACTTGAAGTACTATAGATAGATCAACATTCAACAATCACTTTGCAGGACACGATAACAATTCTCAGACCATCAAATTGACAAGCCACCTTGATGAACTGGACAAATAACATAAGCCACTAGTTTATTAACTAAAGTGGATGGTTAAATTAATTGACCAAAGTATTTTCAGTACTGCCTATCGGAGAAGGGAATAAAAAATAAAGTTCCAGTAGTAGTCTACATATGCATGTAAAATATATAACAGATTTAATTCATATATGTGAAGAGAGATTAGACATAAACCTGTTAGTCCATGTCATTCACAAGCAATCTTGGTATCAAAGCTGCTAAGGCAGATTGCAAATGCCTGGAATGCCGATATAGGGTATCGGTAATCCATGGTAAACACATCCTTCCCTACTTTCCCAAACTGGAGTATGACTTTCTCATGTTCTGGCCCAGCCTGTCCATTCTCTGGGGAAGCCACCAACTGAAAGTTTTTTACTGAAGCAACTGTTACCCGCCCATGAAAGTTCAAACACCAGCATTGGAGCTGTTCATGCCATCTAGGAGACTTATTTTTCAAAACCAGTGCATCTCTCTCACCAGCCAAAGGTCCAGTTAGGAAATTATCCATGCGTGTTGATTTTGATCTGAAAAATGGTAGTGATGGACAGGAATCAAGCTTGCTAATGGGGAACTCAGTCTGTGTGGGGGCCATTCCTCCAGGTTCAATAGCAGAGGCTGGGATGCCATCCATGCTACACTGCATTCTCCTAGGACCCCTGCTTCTAATATAAACACTGAGCATTGGCTATTTGTTTATAAAATATATACACTTAACAGATAACAAATACAACCCACAACTTTTTCCCTGTATTGATTAGCACAAAAACTTTTGAGCAGGAAAGACTACTCTCTCTCTCTCTCTCTCTCTCTCTCTCTCTCTCACACGCGCGAAATCCATGCAAAAAAAAGATAAGATAATATAAGGGTTCAAATCACAAAACCCTCCTGTGCTTTCAAAATCATGCATAAAACCCCCAGTAGAATTAAAATAAAAAAAATCCCTCAACTAAAAAAAGTTATCAAGGTGTTCCCATATCCATGACCGATCCATTAACTTGGTTGTGAAATGACAAATTTGACCTTATTATTTAATGTTAATGTTAAATTAAAATGCTAAAAAAATATTATTTTAAAATTACAAAAATAATAAAGGACCATTAATAATGTTAAATTACAAGATTGTTTAAAATTACAAAATTATTATTTAATGTCAAGTTACAAAATTGACCTTGCTATTTTAAAATTAAAAAAAAATAAAATAAAATTATTATCATCATTTTAATTTAGCATTAAATTCTAAGGTCATATTTTTTTGTCATTTCACAACCAAGTTAAAGGGTTCTTGATAACTATTTTTAGTTCAGAGTTTTTTTTTAACTATTTCACAACCAAGTACATGGGGGGTTTTGTGGTTTTAACCCATAATATAATAGAACTCTCAATTTTGGATGGGCAAAATCAACAAGTAGTTGCATAATCTCTTACCTGGATCCCAACACATTAAACTCATATGAGATGTGAGCAACTTGGTAATTGCTTGCATGAACCCAAGGGGAAACTTGTCTCGAGCCTACTAGCCTAGTGGAGCGACTCTTAGTCATCTTGACACCCTCATGGGGTGGCTGCACATCATGTATTACAAACTTGGTTCCAACAAAATTTGATCTTGTAAAAAAAAAAAAAAACGTGGTGTTATTTGAGCCACTGGAGAAAGATAACCAGTCATCTACAGGACAGACAGAATATGAAACACACCTCAATTTTCCGATGTAGCTGCTGCTTCCTTTTGACAAGTCACACACATGCATAGAGATGATGTAATCTGTGTGAGTGGGGCGCCTACACTTGCGAGCAGCAAGAAGAAATTTTCCATCATCAGCTAGTGCTGCCATAAAGATCACAGGAAAGCAAAAAAGTAAGTGCTTATGGCTCAAAGAGAGGAAGAGTGAAGCAATGATCTGCCAGCCAAATGCTCCACACCAAAAGATTTGGAAGAAGGAAATCTGGCAACTGATTAAAATGCCTGCTGAAATGATCCCCAATTAAAAGAGTCACAAAATGCAGCTGCACAATTGAAACTTTGGGAAGTTTATTCTCAATGTAGTAGCAGGTGGGAGGGGCAGAAACATAGTGATGTATATATGTGACACAACTGAGGCTAGATGCTAACCTTGAGTTAAACCGAGGTAAAGACGATATGTTTGTGTAGATCGGTTCCGTTTTATGAAACACTGGACAAGAGACTCTCTTGGACCAGGCTGTGAACAATAACCAGATATTAGGAGAATACATGACGAGTAAATCCAAATGTAAACAATTTGTCAATCATAAATTTCCTGATTTAAAATAGCAATAAAAATAATAATTCATAAGAGTTCCAACCAAGGAAAAGAAAAATATTAGCATTTAGACAACAATCAACATCATTTTGCATCATAACATAAGGATTTATACAATGCATACTGAATGGCATCTCAAAAACATACATATAATTCTTTCAGAAGTACAGCATTTCAAAGGAATTGGTTAGATGAGAGGTACAAGATGGTTTCAAGGAAAATGATAAAAATATATGAAAATTAGGAGCTAACAATCATGATAGTTCTAGATTGTTGAAGGTGAAGGCCTACAGTGCCTTTAACAATACATTTTTAGCAATGTTTCCATATATGGTCAATCAGTGGTAGATATATGGGCATTATCTGTGTGGCGATCCTTAGGGGTTGATAGGAAGTGATTCTGTTAAGTTTCATTGCTATGAAGTCCTAAACATATGATGAGTTTGTTTCCAGTTCCAGTTCTTTCTGAACAAGGTCTCCAGGGACATCATAAACTCCCAAAATTGGCAAAAAAAAAATCAACGAAGGTTAAAGCACAGTTTACAAAATAAACAAGGTCATCAGGGACATCATAAACTCCCAAAATTGGCAAAAAAAAAAAATCAACGAAGGTTAAAGCACAGTTTACAAAATACCTACAGGGAATCGTAGTGGTCTTAGTTTTGCAGAAATTACCACAAAAAATTGAAAATTTTCCTAACATACTTCTTCTAAGCTTTTTTATTTTATTTTTAAAAAAATCAATCAGCTCTCAATGGAATACATTCATTTATCTGAAATATCCTACCAATCAAACAATCAAGTAAAGAAATTAGGTACCACCGATTGCAAAATTAAAAGAAATATATATATATATATATAAACACACACAATCCCAAATGAACAATAACCATCATAACTATCAAAATTTACAACGAACATTAGAACTCTAACCTGCTTAATCGATATCGGAAAAGTCAATTTTCCAGAGACCTCCGGCGTCCTCACAACCTCTTTCATTATTTTCCTCCAACTCGAGCACACACCTGCGCACGCAACCACATTTTTCCTCAACGGCCAACTCTCTTCAGACGCCTCTATCCTCATCAACACCTCCCTCAATAGCTCCTGCGGCATGTTTGCCCAACAACTCTGCCTCAACCCATCAATCTCCACAACCGGTGTCACCGTCGTCGCAACCACAACCGCCGCCGCCACTGAACTGTCCTGAACCACACGGCGAGACCTCGATCTCGATCCAAACTTCATATCTAAACCTATATCTGCCTTGATTTCCCCAATAATACTCTTCATAAACATCTATCTACTTCCTAATTACCTCTCAATTACACAATTCATCCTAACAACTGGACTTAGGCATAATCTTCAACAAGAATATATAACTTCATACTAAATTAAAAACCAGAAACCGCAGAATTGAAATATAAATCATAAAAACCATACATTAAATTTACATATGTGACGGACATCAAATCGTCCCTATGAAGGTAAAACCAACAATCAACATCATTTCAGACTCTTTGATCGATCTATGTTTGCTTCTAAGGAGAAGAGAGAAGTTCTGATTACTAACTACTAACAAGAGGTGTAGAAAAAAACTGTAGTGAAGGGTGGGGTTTGAAAACCCTAACTGAAATATAGAAAATCGGGAATTTTCCGGGAAAATTTTCTGTTACAAAACGGAGGGAGTGATTTTCGAGAGACCTATTCGATTTGGTCTGTCTCCATCGGTTATGGGCCGGCCGCGCCTAGATACGTACAGTTATATTTTGTATGTACATTCTATAAATATTTTTGGTTAATTTCTCTCGCACTCTCCTCAGATTTATTTATTTATTTTTGGACAATATTTGCATATCTCCTCATATTTATTTATTTAATTTTGGACAATATTTGCCTATTCACTGGTGAGTAAGAAGTTCATGCTTATCCAGATGTGATATAAAATTAGTGAATATTAAACCTAATATGATCTAAATTTAACATTTTGTTCAGGGAGTGAATGAGAAGGGGATCTTAGTAAAAAAAAACATTTTAAGCTAAAATTTTTAAATAAATTTTTTTTTAAATAAAATAATATTACAAGATACAAATAAAACTCTAGATGAAAGAATAACTATAAATTTAATGATACAAATATATTTGTTTTTAGCCAAAAGAAAAAGAAAACTATAAATTTAATGATACAAATATATTTATTTTTAGCCAAAAGAAAAAGAAGATAAGAAATAAGAAATAACAATCTATCGTGCAATCAACAAATCATCTATCAAACCATGTGAACAAGATTTTATGTAATTGGATTACTTTAGATAAAAACAAGATTTTATGTAATTAGGTGTACTTTAGATAAAAACAATTGATAAGGATATATAAGGATCACATTAAAGATAAAAGTCAAAACTTCCAGAATTAACTAATTAGGGTTTCAGTAGAATAGTTTAAGAGAAAGAAAGAGAGGGAGAGTTAAATTAAGATTTGATTTGCATCCATTTTTTATTTATTTTGTTTTATTTTTTTCTAAATAGAGAATTTTGGTATGATGATAACCACTAAATTAAAAATGCAACAATAATACGAAAATATTGTGTTTTATATATATATATATATATATATATTTGGAAGGTAATTTAATATTATTTTTCTTACATTTAATAAATGTTCGTTGAGTGCTTAGTATGATATATTGCATTCTCAATCTAAAAATATACAAATAACTTAATATATAGTGATCACCTTGATTCATGTGTGAGACAAATTAAAATGGAGGTGCCCAAGAAGATTTATTTTTCTAGTTAGGGCCCTGTCCTCATGCCATTAGGGTACAAGAATATGTGGCTCGATTTAGTAGTACTTGAAAAACAAAACATAATAATCAATGTAAATTATCAACATATTTAGATAAATGGTAATTAGAAAATTGTTATATTTACAAGTTTGAATTCACATAAATATGGGTTTATTATATAAAACACACAACAATTATATGATAATATGTCATTATTTAATTATTCTATTAAATGACAGTTTTAATCATCTTATTTTACTTTATTTATTTTTGGAGGAGGTTGGGTTTAGGTAGAGACGTAGAGTAGAAGGTTTGATTATCTTAACTATTGTGATAATTGAAATGATCCCAATTAAACCGAATCCCATGGACTTCAAAGATAAGAGAATGGTCTTATGACCAAAATTAATTGAAAGCATATTGCACACATGAATATAAAATACACTTCGAAATATATATATATATATAATACACATTTTTTGGTGGCTTTGTTTTTACAGTCTACACACCAAAATAAAATAAACAATAAATAAAAGCTTTAAAAGTGGTACTTATTTCTGAATTCAATGTAGCCATGTTGGAGAGTTATGTTAGTTAAGACTTTATAGTACTACGATTTGATCGATGTCCAAGTGCTTTGGATTCTAAGGGAACCGAAGTCCAAGTTTCAATTTTTCGCCTCCTAACTCTAATTATTATACGGCTCAACAATTTAATTATTCTTTAGTTGATTTGTCATCATATGTAGAATGAAGTGACATATGATTATGTCCTCCACGTGTGATGTGTGATCCTTCGTTGCTTATGAGAAAATGATGCATCAACCATTCATGATATGCAATATTAGTGTTACACGAATTAAAATCGAACTTGAAAATAGATACATTAAATTCATGTGAGAGTGTCTAATAATTTTTTAAACCAGTCACAAAATTAAAAGTCTGCAATAGACGATCATGATTACTCACATATGTGATCATACCACATATGCTATTAATTTGACCCACACAGAATCATATTTAATTTCAACGTACGAAATCAGATCAAATTTGAACTTAGATTAAATTTGAAGTGAATATTAAAATAAATGGAGCGGGTCGCCGCGTGCCGACCCCGGGGACGGATTGGGAACGACCCCTTCAAGGTCTAAACTATTTCAAACTGGAACTCAACTCAATTCATATATAGAGCCTCACTCCCTCATCTCTCTTGACTCACTCCATAAAAACGAGTTAAATTCTTATTTTAGGCACAATATTACATAAAATGTTATTTTATTAAAACAAATTAGCGTTGTTCCTGTATCTTTTGTATTTGATGGGTTTATATAGCATTCCACTATACTGTGGTTCGCGAGAGTATCCCTGACAAAAATTGCTTAGCTGTAGAAGACAACAGATGTGGTCGCCCAATTAACCACAAATTATACATTATATATATATATATATATATATATATATATATATAATAGGCTATAAGGATGGTCTACCGCTGAGTTGTTGTGGGATGGATAACTCTCCGAGTCTGTCTGTAGAGAGAGTGGGTGGGCGTAGGGCACAAAAACAGGGGCTACGTCGTGTTATGCTGCGACTCCGTAACGTGAACGGAAAGGGAAAGCCCTGCTCTGGCTGTTTGCTCATTATGCTTTCACCTCCATTTTCTACAACCAACACTCTCATGTCTCTTCATCACATACATTACGGACCTTTCCTACATTTTTTTTTCGTACTGTTAACAGTAGTGGACCATGAGGCCCACCGGTTAGTTCAACAATTTTTCTCTTTTAATTTTTATATATATATAATATCTCCTCTTTTACTACACACTTCTCTTATTTCAATCTAAAATATTTTACACCAAAAAATAACACTCATATAAAATCCTCTTTAACCAAAAAAAAAATTGTTATCATTTTCAATTTTTTTTTTTAATTAAGATACCTATTTGAGTGTGATTAACGCCAACAAAAACACAAATATAGAACATGATGTAAAGAATTAAAACCGACTAAGTGCAATGTCTGGGAGTCACATTACGCACAGACCTTTTTGAAAATGTACATGATTTATTTATTATTATTATTTTAAATTAAAAAAATCCCTTATAAATCTTCAGTGGATGATGATATCATCGTCACGTTATTAGCCATTAACAACCCTGAACCTTCTTAACACACGTTTTTCACTTTAACAATTATTATATCCATAAATATATTATTTGTGAATATATTTCACCCAACTTTTTTGGATTGCATTTCAACAACCCATTCCAATACTATTATTAAACAATGAAGGGGGATGAACAAAAACATCATTTGATATCTACTACCTAGGTCACAATCTGCAGGTCCCTTAAATTCGAATTACTATTTATTTTTTTATTTTTTTCCTAGTTGAGACTCATATACTCTACCTCCACTGAAGTTTGAACCCCTAACCTTCTTTTGAGAAGTAAAAGTCTTGTACTAAAACGAGTTCGTATTCAACGATACTATTATTAAACAACTCGTTCCCCATGCACCTGCCTTGGTACCTCCCCCTAGTTCCTACCATTATAATGGACACAGTAGCTGAAAACAAGGATTCTTTTTTATCTTCTTGTAGGTTTCTGTCTACACACTTATACGTATAGAGAGTTTCTAACGCCATGTCCCCACAACGTTCGAAATTCAGAAATGTCTGATTCCAGCTGCGCATTAATAAAAGCATACCTAACACTGTTCTTAATTTTGGAGAAAGTTGAAACAAAATACAGTATCTGTAGATCACATATTTCATTGCCTAGTTGGTACGAGACCCTAACAAACAAATATCCAGAGACCAGTCTACTCGTACCCGCACTATCCTGATCAGATGATTCTCATGTCTCACCCAAAGCAGTACCATTGTACCAAATAAAAATGATACAAATGGAAAGGCCATCATGCTCCTACTTTGATGCAAAAAGCATCTTGCAATTCTTCTCTTTTTCTTTTTGATTTAACATGTCAATTTCTACAAATAATTTAAAAATAATAATAATAATAAAGTTACCAAGATCAAAAACAGTAACACAAAATGTCTCAGAAACTGCACAAGAATAGAAGTAATAAGCAAAATCTAGGACACTGTATTCTCTATCAAACCTTCATCTTCAGCCACAATTTTCATTAACCAGAAACAATAAAGTCCCTCCTGCTAGAAACTACATATTAATTTCTAAACAATAAAGTCCCTCCTGCTAGAAACTACATATTAATTTCTAATTGAATAAGGACAATAGGTCACACCAAACCTCCAATACCAAATGATGAAAACAATATTATATTAATGGCTGTTGGACCCCTCTAGCAATCCAGTAGTATTAGCTGTTCCCCATTCGACATAAGAGATAAATGACCAAAATGTCAAAATCGTTCCGAAGAGGTAATATCCCTTTCCAACAAGCTGGGTTTTGTCTTCTATAGAAAATGGAGAACCTGTAGGATGTAATGTCACGAAATAATTTTCAAAAGGACAATAATAGTTTCTCTCCACTGAAGCCTTATTAACTTGTCTAAATGAATACAAGAAAAACAACTTCTTCTATTCTCTTCATGTTGCTAAATTCTCAATGCTTATCATCTTCAACATCTCTACAACCCCATGAAAGGATTAGTTAACCTATAACTAACCAAAAGCCATACAAACTCAACATAGTAACACACTAACAGCTTGTTTCAACTATTTGGAATCGATTCATGAACCGCGTATTGTTACTTTGCTGTTTCTGATGGCATAATTTAATCATCATATATTTCCTTATAACTCAATCCAAATTAATTTTGGACCTTCCCTTTCCCCTAATGTCACCCTCAACGTGGAGCATGTAAGCACATGAGCAAACCATCTTAGTTGGTTCACTCATTGTAAAACAATATCATTAGCAAATAACATATACTATGAAATCACACCCTCATACATCTAATCAATTAATCCACGTGGCTTGATGCTAATGGTTGATGGAAGCCTACTAATTCACCTGTTTTTCTTACAACTATTCCTAATATTATAGTCACAGTTTCATCACGTGTTATTTTTATCATATCGATTTATTTATGACTCCATATATTTTTTCTTTTCTTTTTTAATTAATCACCATATTATATATTTAGGGACCATATCATAGGCTTTCATCAATCTATAAGAACCATATGAAGATCTTTTTACATCCCTATACCCTTCCAAGTCATAGCTTCCATTGATGACCTTGTCATTATAAAATCTAAATTGATTTTTCACACACTCATTTCTGTCTGATTCATTATTTAAGCACTCACCCCAGGTTTTATTACATGACATTAATATAAAATCAAAAAATATATTACATTCCACGGACAGTAGGCCCATGAAAAAAATTGTTTCTCTTGTAATATCCTTGACAGTATCATATTCCTCTAAACTAACCTAAGCCTCCGGTATGATTTCTATTGAACAATTTCTCAATTTCTTCTCTAACTATATCATCTTTAACCAAGACACTTAAAAGTCTAGGATAACATCATTTCTATCTCCAAATCCATATAAACAATACACCATCTCATATCAGCCATGTTCTTTTCCTACCACACAACCAAATTTTCCTTATATAACTTCGAATAATTCATCCATATATTTACTTTAGGGTCGCGAGCGAAAAACACCCCTATGGTATGCATATAGAGTGTATAACCCCCTATATGTTCTGAAAAATCCCTAACATTCAATTTTTGAGCAAACAAGGACTTGAATGCTGAAAAAACTAAAGTGTTACTCATCAAAAAAAAAAAAAAAAACTAAAGTGTCCCTCTATAACTAAATAAAAAAAAAGGATAAAAAAAATAATTAAATGTGAAATAACTAAAGTGTCCCTCTTTTTTTTTTTTTTTTTCTTATATATAATGGCTTTATTGGAAGAGAAAAGGGTATTTCCAGAATTTTATATCTTAAAAATGGCATGTGCAATGCACATGACTAAATTTGTAACGAAACAGTGACCTCAAGCCCGTCTTTGATCATTTTTTCAATCTTGAAGTAACTTATATACCCAAAAAAAATGTTAGGAGTGATATTTGCCCAAAATTTAAACATTAGGGGTGTTTTTCTCACTTTGCCCTTTACTTTATCATGTTCATATTCCTATTTTAGATGCATAAACGGCTAATTGTATTAACCATATCCCTCGTGATAAATATCCCATTTGCCTCTAATATTCTATCCTCTGCTATCCTTACTCCATCTCTAACCAGTAGTTTCTTGTAGTCAACGTTCCTAATAATAGAGTTTACTAGCTCTTTACCCATATTCCGGAATACCACAGGAACTGTTACCCACATTTCAACACATCTAGGTGTTCATTTGTTGCATTTGCCTACATTTTGAAGCGCCAGGGAGAACAAGATGGGAGATGGAGAGATGAGATCATTCAAAAAGCCAAAGGGACATTTGTCTCTACTACAATCTGAATCAGAGCAATAAATTTCTATAATTTGATCCTTCGAATATAAACAAAGTCAGATATCCAGTTTAATTTAAATAACTAAAATGAACATTTTCCCCGTATTTTGCTTCGACAATTTCAGAGTAAGATCCTAACCCAACAAAGTGGGGTAAAAAAGAATATAAATTTCACCTACCAAAATTTCCCACAAGGGCTGCAACTATATAACAGGAACACCTCCTTTAGGCTGCTGCAAGGTCCTTAGCGGCGTTCCTACAAAACCAGAAAACCATAATTCAGGTAAAAAAAAAAAAACTTCAAGAAAGCCGAAGCCAGTTTTCACAAAAATAAAGGAAAAAGAGGAGGTCGAGCTTCCGGAAAAATTGTTTGTCATTAGAAAAGTAGTGATGGACCTGGTCGTATAAATTGTTATTGTGTTGGTAATATTCTTATTGTCACTTATCATGTTTAACTATCTTATTTTCTGAAAAGGAATCCGCACCCAACAAAAAAGATCACAAGTGTTAATTCTCAAGAGAATAAATTTTCTACTTTGGAACACTTCAACCATGGACTAAAAATTTTCTGGAAAGTGGAAACATTTCCAAGACAACTTTCCTCGCTATCAAACAGATCACAAATTTTCAGATACAAATATATAATTGAACACAAAGAAAAGAAGACGGTAGACAACAAACACACAAACTTCTAAATAAATTATCTCAGAATGCCAATGTTCAGCCAAGTATCTAATTCTCATGTTCTTTCCTTAAATCTAAATACAGAAGAAACATGCAACGCATAACAACACACTATTTTTAAGGCACAGATCCTGATTAACATATGAAATTCATTTCAGTAGGGGCAGGAAAGGGAATAGAATAATTGACCATAACAAGTGATGAGAATCAATCACAATGATGTAATAAGTACCACACTTTCTTAGTACATAAAATTGACATGCACAAGAGCCAGACTCTGGTGGTCAGATTGAAGACAGCTATGAAGATCGCGTCAAATAGACTACATATTGATTAACAATGCATAAACATGGTTTTCTGATCAAACATTGTGCAGTGGTTTGGAGAACAAACCTAATGTTGGTTCCCAGTGCAGGGCTGGGAGGGTGCAGGCTGTTGGGAGGGATGGACTGGATACAGAATCCATAGCATCATAAGATCGTGTCAAATAGAGTACATATTGAATGAAGATGCATAAAACATGGTTTAATGATCAAACATTGTTTACTGGTTTGGAGAACAGTATGTGAGTGCTAACCCAGTGTTTGTCCCCTTTGTCCCCCCACAGCACAGGCTGTTGAGCGAGGTGGACTGAATACAGAACCTTTAGCATCATTTGCACAAAGTGACGCTTTCATATTCAAACTCGAGTTCACAAACTTGGCAACCTGAGCTTTTTGCCATTCCATGGTGCAATGGTTCCTATATGAGTATCCTCGGGGAGAAAAACACGCGTGAGTTTTCATTATTTTCATTTATATGTGTGTGTATATATGTATTTTATATGTCAACTCAATACTTATAAAAAAGAATAGGGTAAAGTGAAAAAAAAAAAAAAAAAAAACGCTATATACAAAATGTGCAATTACCCCCATGCCGTTCATAAAACCCCCTACATTTTCTAATTTGTGCAAATAAGGACAAATCTTCAATTTAGTCAAAACTGAACAATGAAATGACAATAGTACCCTTGCAATATAAAATATACATATATATTTTACTGTAAACCGTATGTGTGTGTGTGTGTATACACTTTTTTTTTCTCTCTTCAACTTTATTTTTTCTTCTCTCCCTCCACTTTCTCTCCTCTTATCTTATTTATCCATCCTTTAATCAGTACAATGCGCAGCTATCACCATGCAACCTTTAATAGCAAGGCATGTATACATTGGGTTCCAAACACATCGCTGGTAACACCACTGATGCAACATGGGATGGTGTTATTCGTTTAGATAGTCTGTATGCAATTGTTTAGAGAGAGAAAAATGGGTGACGTGGTTGTGAGCAGGAAAGCTCTGTAATCTCATAATACAAATAAAAACTCATTCTTAAAGAGAAAAATTCTCTACAATCTCAATTTTTAATAGAACAATACCAGTGAGTGGGACATTTAGTGGGTCTGATACAAATGGGTTGATGTAATTGGATTATAGTAATATACACAAAAGATCATATTAGAGAGAGAGTGGAGAGTTGATTAATTCCCGTCTATTTTGTCTTCATTAACTCTTGGAAGGTGCAACGAACACACCTAAAGCCCCATATATTCCTAATTGATTCTGGGTAACTAGGTTTTATTATATTTGTCAGACGTCTCTCTCTCTCACACACTAGGGCAGAAGTCGCCGGAGTCTTCACCTTCGGCGTCGGTGACCTCCGAGACTTCCATTGCCAATTGGAAAATCTGTAGTCCTTGAGAGTGGTTTGGCAGAGTTATAATTTCTTTGTGAAAAACTTAAAGCATGTTTGTACCATTTAACCTGACATGATAATATGACAATCGCTGCTTTCTGCTTGTAGGAGTTAGTATACACCTATCTTACTCTCAATCTACAAAATGTTAGACCAATTAGTAGGATTTGTAAGTTTTTATTTTAGATTTAAACATAAAACTGAGATCAGAATGATTGATTCATGAACATGGGTACCCGTGGTGAATGGCTTTGTGGTAGGCTGAAAATGGGTTTCTGTATTTTGAGGGAGAAACATGAGAGAGAGAGGAGAGAGAGCGACTTTACTTTGCTTACATCAGCAGTAAGGGCATTTTGGAATTTTTATAATAAAAAATTGGTCAAAAATGATCATGAGGGGGCAATTTGCTCAAAAGATTGACAATAAAGGGATTTATATGCATTTAATTTTTAGAGGGGGTGTTTCTTGCACATTTTTTGTATAGCGAGGGGGTTTTTGCACTTTACCAAAAAAAAATATTATATGTCAACTCAACAAAGTATTTTCTCAACCACTTAGGGTCGGCTAAATGAATCCTATTTTTCCATTCAGCTCTATCTAAGGCCATAGCCTCAGCCGAATATTTATACACATGTCTGTGTGTATGTATTTGAAAACTATATATATTTATGAAAGTTACATAAATAAATAAATAAATAAGGTTCTCTTGACACCTATGTTACATGGACTTGGGTATGGGTGTCGGACATGGGTATGTATCCATGCGCCGGACGTGTCAAATCTCCGAACAGAAGGACACGCAGACATGGCTAAATATTCATTTTATTAATTATTTTATTTTATTTTCTAGAGTAAACTAATGTTTTTATCTAATATAATGTTCAATATAGGCATTTAACTCATTTTAAAGTAATAATATAATGTAATTGAATGATTGGATATGCTTTTTAAGTACATGTCCAACCAAAAGTGTCGGACACATATCCCATACCCATGTCCGAGGGATACGTGTCCAACACGGGTACTTCACTACTTTTGAAGAGTCCATGTAACAAAATTTGACACCTCTCCTCTCCCCCACACGCTTTTGTTTGAGATGAGATTCCGGCTTTGGGCAGAGCCGGTAGCACATACAGGATCAGAGAAAGACCTCCTTGCTTTAAGGATATAAAACTGAAAAATCTCGGACTTTAACCCAAGGCTCTAAGAACAGTAAATCAGACCTAGACGGGGGTGAATAAGTAATATATATTAACTAAAATTTTCAACTAACTTTTAACTTGCAGTTTATTGGGCTTCAAATTTCTGTTATTCTAGTGCATTATGCTGGTAATTCTCATCCGCTTAATCATATAAACATAAAAAAATATATATATATAGTGAGAGAGCGAGAAGGGACGCAAAAAAAATTACATGAAAAATACCTTAACTGAATCCACTGTGAGAAAGTACAACGAAGTTATCAAATTCCCACAATGATTAGATGCAAACTAAAATAGGCAGTGTTTATTCAAACAAAGGGAACCGAAAGTTTCCTTGCAATTGTGCAAATGTTCTAGCTTTCAAAGGATGAGCAAGGGCCGGGAAGGGGGAGGGGAGTTTCGAGACCGAAGCCCCCAAACTTGAAAGTTCAGCCCTGCCTTCCAAACGTGCCGAAAGGATGGGCCAGATGCAGCAAAGTGATGACCCGTGAGCGGATTCCCCACTGGCAAAGGGACAGTCAACCCGAGGCACTACGACCCACAGGCAACAACAGCATCAGCCATAAGGCGCAAAATGAATTTCCAACATTGGTCAGCATAAGGCACACTGTAAAAAGAGCAGGGAGGCTGGTACGGGTCTGTCGATGTGGCCCAAATGATCCAATACCATCTGATTTGGAAGGGGCTAAACCCATGAAGTTAAGACGTAAAGGGAAGGCATGCTAGGCCGTATGCCCATGGGTGCCGGATTCATCGAAAAAGCGTAGGAAAGAGATGGTATAATCCACTATGAGAAAAAGATAGTACAACTAGGTTATCAGATTCCCACTCTAGATACCAATAGATACCACTTGACAAAGACATACCAACTTTCCACTCAAGTCTCCTACAGATCTGCTCATCAAGCAATCCGCTTCTCCATGGCTTGTTCAATCCTTTCGCTTTTAGTTTAATCAGTTGACTTGCTCCTTATAGTCAATTTTGATGATCTCCTCGTTGTTGAACTCTCAATCACATATATTGGCAATATATTTGAAACCCTATATTGAGTAACAAGGGATTCCGTCCCTCTAAAATAATTAGAGGCTCAAATAGTGACCCTAGGCTGACTATATTTATATCCAATCTAGAAGATCCATGCCAGGGTTCGATAGATTGACACTTCCATCAACAATTATTGGAGGCTCCTAGATTAATCGAGCCTTTGATCGATTCATTTCAATTTTTTTGGAAAATCTTCAATGGATCCACCTACCAATCGAGGCATTCTAGAGAGCACCTGATTGATCAACACAAACTAATTTTCAAAAAAACTTTCCGGGAAACTTTAATTTGAAAGCAATAACTAAAAAAAAAGAAAAAAAAAAAAAAAAAAGAAGAAGAAGAAGAAGACATTAGAAATTTATTTTGAGCCTTTACAAGATCAAATCTAGGTCAATTAAGGTCTTCTAGGGTCTCATTTACCTATGTCCTAGATATGTTTCTTTAGTTTATAAGTAACCTATGTCCTAGATATGTGATTGAGTATTGCAAACTTTGCACCCTGTTTTTCGTAAATCGTCATCCCTTTTCTTTTCTTTTTCCTCAAATGTCCTCAAACAGCTGTACACACGACTAACACTACACATCACAGCACATGTTTTGAGCAAGAATTTGCCAACTTGACTCTAATTCCTAACAAAAACATAAATATTTATATAACAATGTTAATATTATTTATACTCATATACATTATATAACTTAGATAATACAGTTTTAGGTACACTTAATAGTATACTTTATATACTAGTTATAACATATAATATTCCATATAAGATAACCTATATTGATCCGCTTTAAACTTAAAATTTATAAATTAAAAATTATAGTTGATACTTATACAATGTAAGTATTAACTGTAAGTTCTATGAAAATGCCACAGCATAGTTCTGTCACCAGATGTCCTCTCCAAGCACGTCATGTACAAAGAAAGAACTAGGAGAATGACCTTTTAGTTAATACTTATATCAAAATAAACTTGTATAACTCTTATATTTGAGTGTTCAAGCGTATCATTTAACTAATATATAAAATACAACATAATACAAAAAATAGTATACATATCACTCTGTACATCTCAGTTCAAGAACGATTTTCAATACTATGGCATCATCGGTCTGCAGGTGGTGAATGATATATACAGAGACATGTTTCTCAATTCAAGTTTAGGAAAAATATTCAAACCATGAGAAATGGCGAAAGTTAAAAGAATTAAGAAGATATCATTGTCAGAACTAAGAGGTACCGTTTAGAGACAAGAATGGCCACAGTAGAAGAGAAAAAAAAAGGAGGAAGAAGAAGAAGAAAAGAAAGAAAAAAGTGCCCTCATTTACTAGTTTATTAGCTTTAGATGAAGCTTGGATTAAGCAACTATAATTCCCTCAAGGTTTTATAGCATAGTTAAAGTTTACGTTAATTATTTTGGAAAGGAAGAGAGAATAAATTAATCAACAGTGAGATAAATAAGGGATTACCTGAGTTGCCAGCAAAAGAATAAGGCTTCGAAAGATAATTGCTTTTCACCATTCCAACAGGAGCTGTATGAGGTCTTACGACACTATTCACAGGAACCTGATTTGAGAAGTTCATGGCTGGTGGGCTCCCACCTGATTTACTCAAGTTTACATCCGAACTTTGTGCAGGAACTTGATCTGGTTTTTGCACAGAAGGCAAAGAGTATTTATGTGCCTGTTTTTCGAAAAGCAATATTATCCTAAGTTAGTCTCTCCTCAACATAATTCATGCAGGTAGCAGAAGTACAATGAAGAGGCACATCCTACAAAATATCAATAGACAAGCAAAGCACAAATACATTATCAGCAATCTCGTGTACAAAATGTCAGTAAAGAAGATGCATGGATTCTTTTTCTTACTAGAAAATTGTGTGATGGCAACATGTGATAGAGACACACCTCGCAAATTTGGCATGATATTCCTATATTGTTGTTTCTCATATCGCTGATGTTACGCGTGGTGCATCAGTGCTTTGTTTTTTTCCTAAATGGTGCATCAGTGCTTTGTTTTGTGTAGAATAGAAAATGTGCCCGTATGTACAACCTCAAAGGATGATGAGGTTGTCCACTAGTGATGGCAATCAATGACAAAGAATCCATGCATCATATGATATCAAGGGATGGATAAGATGGAATACTCACACGATAGCTTTAGTTATATGGGGGGCAAATATTCAACACATAGGAGGATAATCACTCATAAATAAATGGAATATGAACATGTACATGTTACATAATCCCGTGTATTTAACAAATAATATGAAGGGAAGGAGGAGATGGGAAACTAACATGATAGCTTTAGTTATACATGCTACATAAATAAATGGAATAATTTAACATATAACGTGCAAGATAGGGCAAAATATACATACATAAATATATATATATATATATATACATAAATATATATATATATATATATATATAAATTGAGAGACTTAAAAATATATATTTTTAGACTCTCATTCTCATATGTTCATGTTAGCTATATGGTAGCATGCTCTACATAATATCCACCACAAGTGCCAAGGTGCAATAGACCATTCTACCAAGCAGAGATAAAAGAGTGCAAACCTGTTCCTGATGGTCATCAGTTTGTTCATGGCAAAAGTTATTAGGAGATGAAGACTGTGATGGCATGCTATTCCCATGAAATACTTCTAAATTCACCGAGTCACCACCATGTTCTGTACTCAATGGCTTGTAATAAAGATCATTAAGGGCTGAGCGGAGACGATGACTTCTTTGAGAGTAAAACATTTTGGTTGCGAGGGGAACTGCAACATCTAATTTTAGTGCATCACGGTAATTAGTATCAGCAGCCCTTAGAAAATGAAAAGGCTCCAAAACAAACACAATGAAGGTTCAACAACATTTAAAACCAAATTCAATTCATTTCTTTTCAGTGACATGACCTCATCATTCTTGATCAAAACAATCAGCACGAGAAATAGCAGATTGGGCCACAGCACCATATAATACCTTTTGTCAGTAAGCAACCCTCTCGCACAGGCTTTTGATATCCAAAAACATTATCATGGGCCTTTCCACTTCCTGCACTTAATCCTCCAGGAAAATCTCTGCCTGAACCCATACAAAAAGAATTAGTCTACATGTGAGTACACCATACACCGAAAAGCAGCAAAGAAAATGCAAAGCCTGCAAAGTACCACTATCTAAAACACACACTTTGGTGTAAGGATTTGGTAACTATGAGAAACACTTATCGAAAAACAAATACCTATAAATGTTAATAGCTTTTACCTTTGTTGGCACACGAACATGAAACAGAAACACTTATTAAAAACACAAATACCTATAAATGTTAATTGCTTTTACCTTTGTTGGCACACGAAAATGAATTAAACACTTATCAAAAAAACAAATACCTATAAATGCTAATAGCTTTTACCTTTGTCGGCACACGAGTATGAAACAGATAAATGTGTAGTCTCAAATTTGTGAAGTGAATGAGTGGCAAATGTCAATACAGAAAAAATAAATAAAGGAAACAAATCATTGATACATCATGAGAACCTATAATTGGAGACAAAGGAGCTTGAGAAGATAATTTATATAAAATGGATCGTGCGCATGTAATTAGAACAAATAATAACCAATACAGAAGAGCACTTTATTCAGAAGGCAGAGATCTATGCTTGAAGACCACAGATCTCTATAAGAAGGAAATTTTACAATTTCAAAATCCACGTATCCTCCCTTTGTGTTACTCCTACCACTCTAATAAGGACAGTGTAAGCCACACAAAGATTGGGTGTGCAGCCCAGGCAGGTTGAGGGGTTAACCAGAGCCCAACCCAACAAGCTAATAACCTGAGACCAAACAGAGTGTTTAAGCACAGGTTTGGCCAGTGGCGTAGCTAGAAATTTCCTTCAATGGGGGCAATTTTTAACAGCAATAATATATATAAAAATTAAATAGTTCTAAATATTTGAGAATATTATATTTTTCATATTCTGAAAGTGCGCAGTCGAGTTTTCAAAATGTTCATGGCATAATAATAGTAAATTTAGATGATAAAAATATATATATCAGATTACCTGTCTCTACATGGCAGTATTTGTTTGGATTTTGTGAATTTTTGAAATATTGAAGACTTGCCGAAAAAGAAATGTTTAACATTGAAAATGTGATGGAAATTAACAATGCATTTGTTTGTGGTAAAGTCAAAAGTGTGAAAGAATATCTTGTATTTTTTGGGGAAAGAGGGAAAGAATATAATATTTTGAGAAAGTGAAAAAAAATATCATATTTTTTGGAAAGATTATATTCCTTTTTTTTAATTATTTTTTTATAATACCGTGAATGGTCATTTGGTTATATATATATAGTATATATATGTGCAATTTCAACTTTTAGTGGGGATAATTATACAAATATAATAATCTTTCCATATAAAATTAAAAAAAAATTAAAAATTCATTGGGGGCAGCTGCCCCCACTTGTCCCTATGTGGCTACGCCACTGGGTTTGGCTCAGGTTGGTCAGGTTATATGATCAGGTTGATGGGGCTTGGCTTAGTTTGGTCAGGTTAGACTCAGGTAAGCTCCGGTTTGGATTGGGCTTGGGTTGCCCGAAACCATCACTCAAGCCCAACCTGAATTGAGCCCAGGTTGGAAGTTTTCAACCCATACCCAACCCAAGCAACAACCAGAAAATAAACTTTTTTTAAAAAAATTCCAAGTCCATCCAAAAGCCATGTGGATCGTCATCTTGCCTCAATTATCAAAAAGAAAAATCGAGGCTGTCAATTTTACAAAGATAGATAAGGCAATCATCAACAAAATGTGCTATGTATTTCTAGTAAGTTTAAATTAGAATAACAAAAGAAAAGAGAGTATTTAATAATAATCCAGAAGAGACATACTTTGACATACTTTCGGTTAGCTACTTTAAAAAGGATCCCGCTAACAAAGTTGGGAAAGAACAGTAAAAGTTCAAGAAAAATAAAAGTGGCCTTACAGGTAAATGACTCCTTAGTACCTATACACAAACTTTTTGTTACACCACTTGCTGTTTCTGTATGATCTGATATTGGTCGACCCTCAGCTGCTATCCTACAAGATAAAGATAAATTTATATTATATTTCAGAAATGGATGAGGGTGTCCTCAGTGTGTGTTTAAAAACAGCTTTAAGGAATCAAAACTTTTAACCTAACTTGTCCAATAAACTTCCCATTCAAAATATTTTATAGCATTCTAGATCATATACCATTCAAATCAAACCAAGCAATGTCACCACTAAAAATTCCTAAAAGAAGCATGTACGACCGCCTCTTCACAAGAAATTAAAGGGGGTGCATAAAGCGATCTATCAAAAGATTAAAAGAGTAGGAGGATGAAAGAGAAATAGAAATATTCACCCAAAACCACATGCCTAAGCACTAGTTATAATCTAGATATTAGCCTGACAGAAAACTATCTGATGTTAGGTCACTAATAATCAATCTTCCGGTGATCAGAAATCATCCTTCTGTAGATTGTTTTCAAAGACACCCAATAATCCTTCTGTAGATTGCTTGAAAAGACACCCTATAACTTCTTAAAGCTCCAAAAGTATGATAATTTCCAACTCTGGATAACTAACATGAATCATAGGGCAAGGGTAATGATAAATGAAGAGGGTGGAAAAATGGGAAAGAAATGAGCCATATTGGTCTGAAGCTATGCAGATAACCATAATTTATGAAGAAAAAAAGCTTACAATTTAGAACGTTTTGTTGGAGGTGGCATCGCACCTGCTGAGTAATCTGTATTTCCTGGACCAACTCCTGACCCATCAATAAGTGCACCTTCTACACAAGATGAACTTCCTAAAGAGAGAGGAAAATAACTTGTAAGCAGAAGAAGAAAATAGCAACTCAATTTCACAGATTTACAACATATCGTCAATTTATCATCAGTCAGCAAAAATCATGCAAAGGAAAATAAATTCAAGGCTGTTAATAAAAGATGACATGTTGTACAGAAGGCTGCTTAAATTCAATCCAGAAACAAACCTACAAAAACAATAAACTTAGTATATTATTTCAAGCATGCCATCTAACGTGTTAGGAAGAGAAATCCACGTGTACATATTTATATATAAAAAATATATTGAAATAACCTCCTACAGCTGAAAACTTTCAGCTTAAAATCCTTTCTTTACACACTAAAAACTAGATTATTGTAATCACAACTTTTCTGTATTAAAGTATAACAAACATTCAACACTCCTGTGTTGTGGTGCTGGTATGCAAGTTTGCAACAGTGTGTTTAAATTTCTAAGAAGGAAAAAACAAAGAAAGTTGTAGCTAATGGACATCCGACATCAGAATCAATCTACAGATGGCCAAACCACACATTACAAAAAAACCTAAGCCTCATCATTTGATTTACAACTGATCAGTAGAAGAAACTGAAAAATGAAGTTAATGATGTAACTTCTCTAAACAGGTAACTTGTTAGAAGTTACATGTGATGAATATCACATCGCAATCCCGAGGAAAATATGAAGATGATGATGACATTGATGATGATCGCTATGAGGATGATAGATAGATAGATAGATAGATTTTAGAGATCAAATAACAATAAAGAAAACTGGAAATCCCTATACAACTAAGTAATATAATTATAGCATGCAATATCATTTTGTCCGTGTCCAATCTTCTAACTTTTAAGTCCTCGCTGCTTTAATGCATTAAGAAATTTCTTCTGATGTGAAACAATCGGTTTTATTAATAAAGGAAAAAAAAAAGATATTCTATACTTAACACAGCAAAGCAACATGACCCTATGCAACTCCATGAAAATCAATGCACTCATTAACACAGCAAACTCCATAATTGCACAGAATTCAATTAAATGGAACCGAAATCAAACAAAATTCCTCCAGTAAGAGATACACTTGGCCTAAAATTCGCAGAGCCAAATCACGTCAGTACACAGGTTTTCCCATTAAACTAAACAATTAAGCAAAAGACAGTAAAATTTTGAACTTCTATTATTAAATGATGTGCAAATTAGAAATCCACTCAGTGCGTGCATCATAATGATTTTTTTCATCTAATTTTCATGAGTAACAAGTAAGCATGTTATACTACCATACAACAGCCATAAATGGAAGCTTGCTTTCAAGAGTGTAACAACAGATATTAATATAATTTTGTATATGTAATTAATTCAAGTGCAAAACTGAAAAAGGTAATTACATACAAAGAAGTGGTTTAAATACATGGATAACTCCCTATACAAAAATAAAAATAAAAATAAATTGCCAATTAGATTAATATAGACAGAATTTGCAATTCTAGGCAGATGTTAGACCCATGCAGACTTTGATAATGCCATCCATCCCTTTTTAAATGATCAACGACAGCCTAGATAGGCCTAAAAATAATGTCGTCATACATGTGAAACCCTTTAGCCTTGATGCCCTTTCCTACTTACTAAACTTGCTAAGAAAACACACGTTCAAAGGTTGATTACGTTATTTTTTTTACCAAAATTAATTCTTTTCTTTTTTATTTATATATCTTTACCCATCACTTACAGCTGGAGCAAGGCACATGCCTATTAGTTACAGGAAAATCTCTTAACATTTCAAAGACAAACTAAATTTAAAACCATTCCAAGAGTAGCATAAAAAACACTCCATCCAAGTATGATAATTTCACCTGGAAAATACTGGTTCAAAATATTGATCTACTACTGGATATATACTTGTGGCAAGTGACAACAAACTTCATGGCAAATTATGACAAAGAAAATTGATAATCCTCATGTAAGAATATTACAAAACTAAAAATGAGGAGAGCAAGAGATCATTTACAGACAAAAAAAAAAAATTGAGGAAAAGGAATATACGTTTAGCTTCCGTGGAAAATGAAGTCGTCATTTGAATTTGCTCATCTAGATGAGATTCTGAACCAGCAATATTATCAGCATCTACAGACTCACACTTGACTTGCACTCCAACTGATGTAGCTTGGTCTACTAGAGGTTAAGATAAACCAAAAAGGGAAGAAGAAAAAGACAGAAAAATAAATGCTCTAAAATAAGCTATAGACTCAACCTGCAAAATCATTATTCTAAGAAGAGATGATATAGTTTGAAAATCCTGTCAAAGCAGTTCAAGCATAACAAGGCATCTTCTAGAAAACACAGAATTGTTTTTTGATAGATAAACAAATAGAGTAATTATGCTTCGCCCAAGTCTTGAACTTTTAAAGCTTGTTCTGAAGTTTAAAAATAAGAAAGATACTAGCATAAGCAGTTGAAAACTTTTTCCTCTCCTTCCTTGGAGGTTTTTTGTGCCCAGCACCTCCGTCGAGCTCCGAAATAATTTCTTCGCCAGAATTTAATGATTTACAAAGCTCTGAAAAAAAAAAAAAAAAGGGGGAAAACATGTGGGTCAGCAAAGCACCACCAACACCACAGTCGAAAATTTATGGTTTAGATATCAGGGGTGCATATCACGGTTAAGAACTGATAGACAGCCCACCACATACAGAACATAATACAAGCGTGCAAATCCTCACATGCAAGACACAATAAAGAGCTGTAACTACCATGGGAACCTAAGGATGAAAGATACAGAACACGAAATGGACACAGTGAATCTTTAAAAAGTTGGACAAGGACACGGCAATAAATTATATATATAAATTATATTAGGGAAGACATAACTATTCGATGACCATAACATGTAATTATATTTTACAACTCTTAAAATTATAACCACCCCTTTTGCATAGAGAAAGACACTACAAGAACAATATGTATTTATATGTACAAACATAATTTGATGATTCCTCTCCTATTCTCCTGCTCGCTCCTTGAATCAAATCTTCTGTATCTTTTACTTTTAAAAAAATTAAATCTGATCAAACTTGAATGGGCCGAAACATTAGCATTTCTTAGGTACCTTTACAGAAGAAAAACTTTTGTTTATAACATATCACAACTCCTGAAAAGTTTCTCCTCTTTTCCGATTTTCTTATACACGTGTTTGGCTGATGCAAAATCATATTGAAGCACCAATACTTACAACCACCCGAAAAGTAGAAAAAGCTTTGAAACCTGCATGAGCTGCATATTGGCTGACTTTGACTGGCTTCTTACATGCATTGCAACATACCTTCAAAAGAACATTAGACAATCAGAAAATTGAAGTAAAATTGATGTCTGTACATATATTTACTGATATAAATGAACTTTAGGAACTGAGGTCGTGCAACAGTAAGTCATGAAAAGATTTTCAATTAAACACATAAATTGGAAAGGAAGTGTTCATTGATGTCATATTCCACTAGCTGCACCAAGTTTGGTATTTTCTCAGCAGGTGAAGGTATACGCTTTACAGCAAAAGTAAAATTACAATAATACAAAAGGCATATTGGGCATACAATAAAACTGAACATACACTATAAGTAGAGAGATGCGACCACGTCAATCTCATCAAACCAGCAATACGAAAAAGAAAGGGAAAAAAAAAAACTTGGAAAACTTAGTAAATTTACCAAGATATTAGATCAATCAATGAGCATAATTAGACTACTTTACCAGATCGCATGGATTCCGAGTTCAGATTGTATCCAAATAAAAATCTAAAAGAGTTGCAAAAGCTTTTTCATCCAGTTATAGTCAGCACCGCTACAGGTCTGATCAAATTAAACTAAAGAAGTGGCAACACATATTAATGTTGTTTCACCTCAGACTCATATCGCATATTTGCAACTTAATCAGATTATAGCATTGCATCAAAGGTTTTTATAGACAAATATTACTGTTTTTTAATTAAATATAATTTAGAAGCAATTTTCTAAAGATATCTATCAATTTTCATGACATTCAAACTGAAACTATATCCCTTGCTTGTCATAGTTCAATATTTAAGCGAATAGAAAATATACATCATTGAAAGTATTTATCATCTCATATACTTCTAAGTTTTAAGTACAATTTGCAACCAGTTTATCATGAACTATCTGGATAAACAAATAGAGAAGAACAGTTGCAGTTCAGGAAGATTGCCCTATCACATTCACAGACAGCAGTACATGAGATCACAGAGTTACAGATGAGGACTCAGTAAATCACTGTAAGTTTTGATACACTCCCATTTAATCAGATTGCATAGTTTGCAGAAGTTGAGCATTATTACACAAGCATAATACCTCATCTTGCCCTCAGCATGAGTAGAAATTCAAAATATCCCTTTTAAAGCTCTACCCCCATTATGTACATAACAAACAGTTCCAAGAGTGCACTTGTCACAAGGGAATAATATTCCAGTATATGTGGGAAAAAGATCTCTACAGGATAGACTTCTTTCTCACAGCATCAAAAACTAGTAAGATGCTATTTATACAAAAATTTACAGTGTAGCCAAAATGTTTTCCAAAGCTTACCAGATGTAAAGGATCTGTCATAGGCTTCAGATCAAATACATGCATATCTGCAACAAGAAATCAACAAAATCGAGAAGTCATGACACAGTATATATAGTTTGGTCATCCAACTTTAAGCAAGCCTGAGGCAACACAGTATATCCACACACACATCATAAGTGTTGCAATAATTTTTTTTTATATAACTTGCAGTTTCCAAACTCTAACATCACCAAACAACAATTTCTATTGTTAGTATTTTGGTCATCCTACTTTAAGCAAGCCTGAGGCAACACAGTATACCCACACACACATAAGTGTTGCAAAAAAAAAAAATTATAAGCAAAATATCATATAGACAAGAGCGCCACAACAGGCACAATACATGCAGACACAGCATACAGGAAACACAAACCCAAGACTTCCCTAGTTTCCTTAAAGAAAAATCTCCAAAATCTATAGAAGTATAAATAGAAATAGGAATTCCCTGAAAAATAAAAATGAGCATCAAACGTCAACTTTTTAATCCTGGATTTAGAGACATCTACAGATCTACTTATCATCAAAAGAATGTCAATTTCACTCCCAAGGGAGGAATATTCTGCGGTCCCACCATTAGGATTTGCTTCTAGGATGGATACAAGTGTCACCTTCCCATGGGAGCTCCCCTCCAATACAACAGAAAGAAACAAATCCCACTGACTCCCTGACCGAGCCACAATAACATTGATCTGACATGCAGACACTTTGTGAAACCCTTGGGAACATTCTTCACTGAATCCTCCTCCAAATACACACAAAACTGAATGAGCGCTCAGGTCTCCAACCACATCATTCTGGTTTGCCAGCTCCCATCTCAATCAACTAGAAATAAAGGACCACAGTGACCTCCACTAATGAGATCGAAAATCCTACAGGACCTCTCCCAACCTGAAAGATCACTAGATCTCCGAGCATCATCTAGCTCCAATAAATGCCCAGTAGCATCTAGCAAAAAGTTGTAAAACTTCTAATTGTTGAAAGAAACTACTGTGGCCTAACTAAAGGAAATTGGCAGCATTCTCAATATTGTAATATCCTGTATTGGAACATGACATAAATACTCGTACTCCGACATAATGTGTTTGATGCTAGTTTCAAGCTTTACAAAATTTCAGGGACCTTTCAACTTTTCCATTTGATCCTAGTCTTGAGATTTACACAACTTTCGGGGACTTTTTCAACTTTTTCACATTACTCTTAGAAGGGAAAATAGCCACTCCATTATTCTATTATCCAAATGTTACATAGCTAACTGGTTGTGAAAATCTGTTACAATAATTCCAATTTGTTTTGACTGATTTTACATTATAATTAGTATATCATTATTGCATTGTATAGTAACCAGCAGGACAAACTAAATATCCAACAATGGTGTGCATACACAATAACACATTACACTATTGCATTGCACATCATAGAACATGCACAACTTCACAAAATAAAATAAAATTTAAAAATAAATAAATTAAAACAAGGTGTTATTACCTACTCTCTTATTATTAGTTAAAAATAAAACAAATAATATGGAACGCGTTATGCATCATCTAACGCCTACATATATGCCTGAGTCCTATCAATTCTTGATACAGCCAGTATACTGAAACACATGCCAGCAAGGTTACTTCACCACCAATTCAGATAACACAACTTTATCAGCCAATGCATGCATGTATGCATGAATTTATATAAGCTCCAAATAAAAAATGACAAAATTCTTTGATGGGATAAGAATTGACAAAGTTACCTTCTTCGTCAAGCAAATTTGCTTCATCTGCCTCACGCAATTCTCTGTGAATGTACTGAGCAACTAATTTGTGGTGGCCCACTTCCTCTGCCAATGGAAAGGAGAGAGAAAGGGCCGAGGGGATGATGTTATTAACGATATTGAAACAACCAAGAAATTCCGCTCATAGAGTTCTACTGAACAAAATTCAAATGGATAATCAACTACTAAAATAAATATATATATTGTAATTATTGCATATCCTAGAATTTCCTTTGCATAAATTCACATATAAGTCTATTCTTATTCTAATTAAAAATAAATAAAAAGTTATAAACATCTTATGAGCATGTACATAGATACTTACACATAAGAACTCATAATAAGAGGTAGCAAGAGTATGTGGGAGTGCATGTCCATGTGTGTGTGTGTGTGTGTGTTGAGTTTGAAACTAAAAGACATATTTGCATGTGTCTATAAGCCTTTTGTGCTGAGGGTGGGTTAGAGCGGACAAGATGCATCATCTTGAGCACTAATACAGCACAAGAACAACTTGTTAAAATACACCAGGATGCAAATTCTTGTCTTCAGATATACTCTGTTATTTTGTTGTTCTGTTATTTTGTTGTTCACTAAGCAATTCTGAAATAAGATCACCGCCGCCTACTCTCCCACCACTCTCCAGAACGGGAATCATCTGTTATTTTGTTGCTCACTAAGCACTTCTGAAGCAAGTTCACACCTCTCTACAAACTTTCCCACCACTCCCCCAAAAAAATTGCATTGCGTCCATTTAGGATATTTTTAAATTTTGTTCACACCTTTCACATTGCATTCAATTATCATCTATGTGATGAACAGGCATACAATCAATAACTCAATCTCAAACATTTTGACACAAGTACAATTCAAACCCAACAAGTATGAAAGTCTTTGCTACCACCTGCTGCCAAAAGCCTTGCCATAGCTGCCATTCTCCCACTTCCAAGAGAGCATACCATTGAGACTTGAATAACCTATACACCTGTGCATTGCTAGCAAATATCAGCTCAGGGAAGATATATCCCATGGATCAAAACATAGTGCAATGGAAATGAAAAATTGAAACCATGTATACAAAAAGGACTAAATTATGTTGTAGCAAACAGGGTGAGGGAAGAAAACCCCAATTATCAACATACTCATTAGCTTGCATTAGCAGACAAACAGACAGAAAGTTACTACAAAATTCACTGCATTCCCATCTAAAGTTGAAGGGATTAAAACAGCAACAACCAAGTATCATCTTGTTACTATTTCAAATTCTTTTGTTTAATTGCCAAGATTTGTCCACTTTTTTCATTCCCTCTGTCTTTAAACCCTGAGGAAAGAACAAGTGTTCAAGAGTGATGCATCATGAAGTGAATGTTACTAGTTGACTCCTCATTCAGGGACAACCCCACAGGATTGTCCCATAACCTGCAGGGGAGAACACCTTTGTTGCCAAAAATATGAATCACATAAAAAATGTTATGCCCAAGAAAGCTGACCTTTAGAGAGACAGAGAGAGAATTCAGTTTTGGCAAAAAGATTATCCAAAAAGAAATCAAATATATCCGTAATGTCAAGAAGAGCAAACTTCCAACAGGTGTGGCCCAAGGTCTTGGTTGCTCCCTTGTCAAGAAGTTATTTACCAAAGATGTTTTAAAAAATATGAAAGTTTGCTGGTAAAATCCATAACAAAGAGTCTGCAATTATTGACCAAAATGTCTTTGTGAGACTAGTATCTTCAATCAATTGCCACGACTCTCAGGTGGAGATTCAGAGATGAAGACACAATTGCATCAGAAATTTCATTGGTTATAAAACCCTTCGTTTTTGCATTATTTTGCACGAAGTGGTTCCCTGAAACTCATATCCACATTCACACACTTATGAACTAAATCTTTTATCATGAAACAAAAAATATGTTTTAGGCCTAAAGTTTGGCTCTCCTAAAAGTTCCAACGTGTTAATCCCATCAGGACAATAGTTCAACAACTTAAAATTTTGCTGTTGCATTTTGTTCCCTGGAGAAAATATCATTACATTGAAACCCGCCTTACTTGCTCTTATATTTATAAAAACAATAGACACTTGTCCTATTCTTGTTGCTAATTCATCATATATTCAACCTCTTGTTTCCATGATGTACAAAGGTAGCTCAATTAAATAGATCTTGTTAGGCCGTACATGGTTTCAATAACCGAAATCTAAGTTAAATGAGAAAGTTATGGGCCCTCAAAATGGTAGTTCTAAAACTCTCTGAAGAGAAATTTAGTTGCAGCTAGAAATGTGACATGAAAAAAGAAATGAGGTCACCTTTAAAGTTGACACCAAGCTAAAATAGAACTAATTCAAAGTTTCTAGAAATCCCCCATATTGCGCTTAAAATAGTGATATTCGTAAATATACATTACCTGCACTTCATGATGCAAAGATTGCCTTTTTATAGGCTCTGTATATGTAACTAAAATGATTAAACATATCTATAAAAATAGTCTTTCCAAATGCAAACAATGATGTTCATGTCACATTGAGAAATATGAGTGGTCCAAAATCCAAATACCACCTCCTAAAAATGTGCCACTGCCACTGCCACCAAAAGTCCCACATGACCCGTAATATGCAACTACATATACAAGTTTCAGTTGCAATTTCTAAATATGACCTTAAAAAAAATTATTCTGGTCACACCAATTTTACCCTTCAGTCATCATACTTTTACACACTTTTCCAACATTTTGGAATGGCAACTATTTTATCATCCCATATTTACTTGCCAAATGTCCCAAACATTCAAATATATCTCTCTCTTCAACTATAAATATCCCTCTCAGCCCCCTCAAATGCATAAACTAATTATCTACCCGACGTCAAGCCTATACCCAAACTCTTTGACTCCACACTAACAAGCACTGACCCTATTCCTATAGGAGAAATGAAGTCTATAAGGTCAAAGAAGAAGAGGAAATTCTGGAGGAAGGAAAAAAAACGAGACGTATAAAAGATGTGAAGAAAATAAGGAAAATGTGAGATTGAGATATAGGGACTCTCTTCAATTTTGTTTTATTTTCACATTTGAACCTCAATCTGTTCAGACACCTCACGGAAATAGCAAAGAGAAAAAATAAAGAAGAATAGTCAACTTTAAAGCTGGAACACCGTACCTATACTTTCTTAGTTTCTTCTGTGAGATTATAAATGATGTTCTGTCAACATCTGTGACAGTGATTCCCTACAAAACTGTCATTTTCCAACTACAAATATTATGAACTGAAATAAACTTCAAAAGTAATTATCACTACAGAGATAAAAACGAATTGGGATACCTGGCAATAGTTGAATACATGTATGTGCCTCTTGCAATATAACAACAGGTGGGATGAAGCTGGCATAACCCAACCTGCATTTTCAATAGAATATTTGTTAATGACTCTGTTCCTTCTACTGCAATAACAAACCTCTGTTTCTAGAGAATCCGAACAAAAAATAGATTCAAAAGCCAAAAAAGATAAAGAAAAAGAAAAAAATGATCGAAAAGTTTCCACTAATCCAGACATCTGATTTAATTATTTTCTTTATTCACCTTGCCTGTAACCATGATAAATAACTTCTATAAAAAAATTTCCCTGGGGAAAATTATTTTCATCAATAATTCATTAACCTTCAAAAAATATTTAAAGAATCCCAGCCACTTTTTCGTTCCTGTTTATTGCACCTGGGGTTACGGGGTTCTTTACACCAAAAAACTACATACTTTTATTTCTGGTTTTTATTCTAATTTCCATTTAGATTTTTTTTCTTTCCAATGTGAAAGTATAGGAGCGCAATGCAACTTGAAATCCAACAACGGTTGTCTCAAACTGTCCAAAACTAAATTATTCTTCATAATACGCAACAGTGATAACCAATTAAAGTAAATAGCTCCAAATTGAGTCCAAAATCAGATCAAATATTAATTAAAAACAATAAATAGGGGTATACAACACCGACAGCATATGCATTTCACAGATGCAACTAATTTCAGACACATGAAATTACTTTTAGGTGAGCAGAATAGTTGATTAGCACATAAAATAACTCGTATAGTTTGATTCAGACGGAAATGTGACATGCAAATACATATAATATATACAAGTGTGTACGCCTATCAAGAAAATTCAAATTCAAAATTAATCAAATAGATATTCAAGATAGCATTACCTCGAAATGTCTTCCGAACATAAACTTACAATAACTCTCAAAATTGGTCGAAAACGCATCAAGATTTCAAAGAATTACAGCGAATCTGACACAGGTGAATGTTCGAGAAACGCGTGGTGAATGAGAGACGAAGAAGAGCAAAAATGGCGGAGACGGGAACCCTAGAGAGTGAAAGTGTGTGTTTGTGTGTGAAGTTTAGTTTCTCTCTCTTGAAAAGAAACTCTTCTGTTCTATTCTCCTCTCGTTGGAGGAGGAGAGAAGAGGTAGCAAGCAAAGTGAGCAACAAATGGAAGAGAGATTTTCAGAAAGAAATTGGGCCGTGGCCGCGCGTTTGTTTGTGCTAATGCTCACGCGGTCGCACGTGCCTTCACACTAGTCAAGTTGAAACAACTCGGCTTCCCCTCGAGTCTCAAGATATCCAAGTGCGTGTTTCTTCTTTTTTTCTTTTCTTTAATGTCTCTTAAAATTTAGAAAAATTATCTGAACATTATGATCGATTATGTTTTATTTTGTGTGCATACTGACCTGATCATGTAGGGTGTCTGATATTATGAGCAGAATGTCACGGATTCCTAACGAAGCTAGGAGTATGAAAGACACGCATGCTGATTGAAGAAAAAGTAGAGTTTGATCGGAAATGGTTTTTAGGAAAGGGACGTGCAGGACCACAAGATGGTACCTGTTGGCCTAAGGATTTTTATCTAAAGGTTTTGATGATTACAAACCATTAATGATGTTTATGTACTAATATTTTCATTGAGTTATATATAGTTCATATCTTATATGATGAGCTAGATGAGCCATTTCAAGCATTCAAGTACTCAAGCTATGGACTCAATGAAGCCTCAAAGATTGCAAGAAATCAAAGAAAGACTCAAACTTCAAAGATCAATCAAACAATTTCAAGGAAGAAAGCAAGTCTTCATCAAGCTCAAAAGATCATGGTCAGGGAATGGAGAAAATGGTAGATAGGATGGTGAGAGCTTTAGATTTAAATGTTAAAGCATATTTGAATATCTTCTGAAGCTCAAGTTTTTAGGTTCATGCATATTTTCTCTAAAAATCAGTTTTTAGAAGGCCTAAAATCTTTCCATGAACTTTACTTATGCATGCTCTCATAATAGGAAGTGCACAAAACAAAATGTGTTTCATTCTTAGTCTTACACAAGGATTGGAGCCGCCTCCCAAATATAGGAGCCTGCTCTTTGCACTCCAGTAGCCAAATTGTGTGTCGTAGAATGCATTTTGTGAATTGGAGCCGCCTCCCAGTTATTGGAGCCGCCTCCCATTTATTGGAGCCTCCTCTAATTTTTTGTAGAGCCGGCTCTTCTAGATTATTTGAATCTTCAACGGCACTTTTCTGCATTTAAGACTTCCAACTACTTCTAACAGACATATTAAGCCTCGGTTGTCTATATAAAGAAGGCTCATTTTACTGAAGTAACACACCACTGGATAATACATTCAAGAGAGCATTCAAGAGCATTCAATAAGCCATTTAAATTCTTCTCTGAGCTTTCACTTTCAACCATCACTATATTCTCTCATCCTAGAACTTGAGCTTCATTGATATTCTGATATTCTCTAGTTGTGAGCTTGCACTTGTATATCTATTGAGAGAGATTCTTGTATTTCATTTACAAACTTTGCTACAATCTTGTAAGGGTTGGTGTGACCCAAAAGAAGCCTAGGAGAAGGGTGTTCTCCTAGCAAGGAAAAGAAGCAAGGTCTTGCTTCAAATTTGAAGGTTTGCTCTCCACCATTAAGGAGAAGCTCTAGTGAATTTGGGAAGTCTCAAGGGGGATCTTGAATCGAGGAGTAGGAGTTTCCGAACCTCGCTAAATCACCGAGTTCATTGTTTGCATCTTCCTATCTCTATCTCTTTTATACTTGTGCTTTATATTGCTTGAATTTATCAATTTATCATTGCATAATAGTTGTTGTAAAACAAGTTTCATAAATTGCAAAAATTGGCCATTGACTCTATTCACCCCCCCTCTAGAGTCAATTAGTGGTTAACAGTACCTTTTCAGAGTTGAGGTATGTCGACTCAAGTTCAATTTTAGGAACTTGTCGGTAGTCGTAAACTTGACTATAAGAAAGTAGTTGGCCACCTCTGCACAAACTGATAAGGAGCTGGAGTCGTTCCTCTGATGGCCAAGGTAGGCCGAAACTAGTTAGTATGTATCCTCAAGAAGATAGGTTGTGGTGGCTGATCAGGGTGTTTGCACGAGTATCAGCAACGCCTGAGTGACGCATGGACCAGACTGCTACGTCAAATCTCTAAACCGGTGACAAAAAGGTGCACATGAATTTATAACATCAGTAATTCATTAATTTAATTTGAATCAATTCCATTTGTATTGTTTAATTTAATTTAATGACTTAATGGTTCGCATATCATAACAAGCAATTCAATCTAAATATATATAATTATTCTCATTTAATTGGTTGTTAATTTGTTACACTAGACTTGCATCAAAGTTAACCAAATAACATGTACTATTTCATGATTATAGCCCTCTTTCACATAAATATATTAATGATACTATTATACTTTTTTTAGAAATTGTCTGCATATTTCTTTGTTATTATTTTAAAAGTATTATTAGATTACTATTTTAAAGTGAGATTAATTTGTAAAATCGAACTAATGCAAGCAGTTCTTATATGAATCGAGTTGATTATGTTTAGGTGGTTTTTTTGGTTAAGTTTGGTTTCAAATTTATGAAACTATTAGGATTTATTTAATTTTTTAAACGTGTAGTTGGGAGGAAAGACGAGATAATGACTCACTGCCTTACCTTCCTTTTTGTGCAGGAGCGAATGCTAGAGCGAGAACATAATAAAATTTAAGTCACACATGGTGAAATTGAAAAAAAGAGCAAGCCACGAAACGTGAGAGCGAAAACCGTTTAGAAATATAGGGTCTGTTTGGCATGAGATATGTTTTAGACGTTATATTTTTTGTCAATATCAAAACAATTGATTTGTTGTAGGAGTGTTATGGGTAGAAATCGGAACCATGTTTAGTAACGAAAATTTGTTTTGGAAAATTTAAAAATTTCCTTTTAGTTCATCCATACCAAAATCACACAATATCACCAATTTGATTATATGGGTTTGGACAAAAAAATTCTAACATGTTATGGACTATTCCAAATCGGCCATCCCAAATAGGGATGTCAATTTTTACCGCCCCGCCGGGGCTCCACCCCGTCCCGCCCCATTAATAATGGATATGGGAACACTTTTTATACCGTTGGGGCGGGCATGGACACAAATTTTGTACCCGTTGTGGGTCACGGGGCGGGTAAGGGTTTAGTACACATATCATAGGGGCCCCGCCCCGCCCCACCCCGCTAAGCATATAACTATATTATATATATATATAATATTAATAACTTATTTTAGCGGCTTACCGAGTTGCCCATCTCTTACATCCTAATTTTGGATGTAAACTTGGTATTAAATTTGTTTTTGTTTTGGTTATGGTGGAAGTTGAAGTTTAGAACTTTTTGTGATTTGGTTTTTATTTTTGTTGGGATACATAATTTCATTTATGTTGTGCCATTCCCAGACTTTCCACATTTAAATAGCACGAGCTTAAGTTCCAAAACGTGGGAGAAAAAAATTTGTTAACGGGGCGGGCACGGGGCACAGTATTTCCCAACGGAGCGGGACTGGACATGAAAATCTAACCCGTCGCGGGTCTCGGGGCGGGCATGGACTTGACAAAAATTAAAAGGGGCGGGGCGGGATTTAGGAAAACCCGCTCCAAACCCGCCCCGTTGCCATCCCTAATCCCAAACATGATATTCGTCTAAATTTGAATATCAATATTAGAAAAATAATATCATTACACATTTCAGGGCCATATAAATTCATTTTTTGCGTTCGGGGAGCCCCCACCCACCAAACAAAAACTCGAGTTCAAGCTCGTCCCATTGTTCAGGCCCAACTAAACAAAATTGATTTGAGCCCATCTTGAACATTTACTAGGTTTCAATTGCCTTATCGTCGTACCCAATGCCTCGGATGGGCTAGAGGCTAGAGCCATGCTGGGCTTTGAATTACTGTATCAAAATGATGTAAGTTCAAGAAATTGAAAGCCCGGCTTGGTCATATTAACTGCTCGTGGGTTATAGTAATAAAATACAGAGACCTCAGCGCACATTTGGAATGTTTTACCTTATTAGTAATTAATTATCTAACGTTAGTTCACCTTTCATTTCAAAAATGTTATTCCTAATTTGGACTCATTACACGTTTGATGGAGTACTAGGGTAGATGAAACATCTAATTTTTAGAAGTCCGTATTGAACCATGTTTCTACATTAACCTACCATCCTACTCAAAGTTATAAGTGTACCAAGAAATAAAAAAGGATAAAAAAAAATGTTTTCAAATATTTACCATCCTACTAAAAGTTTTTGAAATTTTCTATAACTTTTGATACCCCAAATGAAATTTATTTACAAAATATAACAAATTTGAGAGGGAATAGTAAAATATTTTTTAAAAATTGGTAGGGTCCTGGTCTCCCTCTACCATTGCAAGTGAGAGCCTCATAGGGACACCTGTTCACTGATGAATTGATAAGTTATTAGATATTTTAAGAGGTTTAATATCACTATTTTTTTTAGACAATAATAAAAATTAAGAATAATTGATCGGAATTTCAATTACTATCCATTCCCGGTAGATATTGATCGGAATTTTTTATTTTATGTATTTATAAAATTAGGAGACATTTATATATATATATATATATATATATATATATATATATATAACGGATTCCGTGCCCTCACTGATTTGATCTTCACAATTCGTGCTTGCTGTTGTGTAATTTTTATGTTTACATATATATTTAAATATATAATTTCCAGAAAGTTGTGGGTGAGACTACGTGCAACAACGTCAAATTCTATAATGGACCACGCCAAGATCCAACACGTTGTGTGATTCTAAAGTTGCCTACACACATTTGTTCCAAAACACAATCAAAACCAAAGATACGATGCACACCCAAAAGCACTGAAACATGGAAATTTCCGATACTCAAAAAAAAAAGTCCACGTCAAAATTGGCGTGGGAGGTTTTGGACCACCAATTGAAGACTTGGTAGTGTAGGACCCACCAACACTATACGTGGCACTGCACTGTTGATGATGGTGGGACCTCTTTATCATCATACGATCAGCCCGCTTGCCGACTAATTTAACCGTCTGTCGGGCTTAAGCTAGCAAAGTAAAAAGTAATTATATGCTGGCCACAAGATGGGTTCAAGTGCGCTTATTTTTTATGGTACAATCTA